AGTATACAGTCTGCAACACTCTGTAGTAGAGTACACAACCAACACCACCCTGTAGAGTATACAGTCTGCAACACTCTGTAGTAGAGAACACAACCAACACCACCCTGTAGAGTATACAGTCTGCAACACTCTGTAGTAGAGTACACAACCAACACCACCCTGTAGAGTATACAGTCTGCAACACTCTGTAGTAGAGTACACAACCAACACCACCCTGTAGAGTATAAAGTCTGCAACACTCTGTAGTAGAGAACACAACCAACACCACCCTGTAGAGTATACTACCTGCACTACCCTGTAGAGTATACAAAACCTGCACCACCCTCTAGAGTAAACTACCTGCACCACCCTGTAGAGTATACAGTATGCACCACCCTGTAGAGTATACAGTCTGCAACACTCTGTAGTAGAGTACACAACCAACACCACCCTTTAGAGTATACAAAACCTGCACTACCCCGTAGAGTATACATAACCTGCACCACCCTCTAGAGTGTACAAACTGCACCACCCTGTAGAGTATACAGCATGCACCACCCTGTAGAGTATGCAACGTGCACCACCCATTAGAGTATAAAACCTGCACCAACCTACAGAGAAAACAACCTGCACCAGTGCACCTCCCTGTGGAGTATACAACCTTTACCATAGTCTATAAACCTGCATCACTTTCATCCTGTAGAAAATAAACACCCAGCAACACACTGCAGAGTATAATTATACAAACCTGAACCCCGTTATCTTGTAAAATATAGAAACACCACCCTGTAGCACCAACATGAGTCTACTTATAAGTACATATATTAAGTAACACCCAACCAGCTAACCATTCCAACCAACTGTTTTAATATTCTTTGCTGTCCATCTTATTTCCGTAAAACAACTATGAAAAACTATTTCTGTAATAAGTATTTGTGTCTGTACGTTTTATTAAACAATTAAGAAACATATTTAAAATTGGAAGACATTTGTACTAAATCACATTTTATTGGATTTTATCCACAATTAAAGGAGAAAAAGACGGAAGTCAACTCAATATAAAATTTAATCATTTTTAATAAAATAAATTCTTTCTTTTACTTTATATCAAGAACTTTTGAGATCATTAATCCTTACAAAAAGCACTTATCTTTATCTTTTTCTCCGACGGATTAAATTTAATACTTTTGGATATCTTTGAAGGTCTGAGGTTTTTTCATTTAAAAAAATTGGACCAATCAGAAACCTTTTTATATTTGTTCTCGGCCAATGAGTGTCAGAGGATATTTTCATGAATTCAGTACGTAATTGCTTTAAATAAACAGTTTCCGTTGTGGAATGTTTAGCTCATCCAAAAGTTCAGTCCTCTGTTTTTAGATTTGATTTTCTGTAGGAATTTATAAATATTTGTAAATTTTCAAGGAGTAGAAAAATCTGAAGAAGTTTTGATTCTTTTTATTTTCTCTTCCTGGAAGAGTGAACTTTGGAAGTAAACAACTGGTTTCTGATGAAGCGTGGAGAGATCATAGGTTTTTCCTAGAACCTGAACCTCAAGAGATGGTTCAATATCAACCATCCAAGGATGAAACCTAAGATATTTGTTTGTTTTTAATATGAAACATTTGATTCAAATTTGTCGGAACTTTCAATGTCTTTTCTGTTATGTATTGGCTCAAATGTTTAAAAGATCTGATTTATTATCTTTCTATATAATAAAACAAGACATTCGTATATGTTCCCTATAGCCGGCCAAACGGCCGGACCAAATGGGCTGATTTTTTTGTGGACACTCATAGGTAGCCTGGGGGTGACATAGGCTAAAACAAATTAGAATTTTTTTTCAAATTTTTTTTTCACGGGCAACGCCGGGCCTTACAGCGTTGCCCATGGAAAAGTTGAAAAAAAAATTTTGGAAAAAAATATCGATTTTTTAGCCTATACAACTCTTTGGCCACCCATGAGTGTCCACAAAAAATGTCAGCCCAATCGGTCCAGCCTTTTAGCCGGCTATAGGCAATATATATATACGATTGTCTTGTTTTACTATATAGACTAGCTGAAGGGCCCAGCGTTGCCCGTGAAAAAAATTAAAAAAAAAAAATATTTTTTAGACGATAAGTGTCCACAAAAAATTTCAGCCCAACCGGTCCAGCCGTTTGACCGGCTATAGACAACATATATATACATACAAATGTTGTATTATATAGTAGAGATAAATAATAATAATAATAATAATAATAATAATAATAATAATAATAATAATAATAATAATAGTAATTACAATACTAAAATAATAACAGTAATACAAATGATGATAATAATTAGACTAGTAGATAATAATAATAATAATAATAATAATCATACTAAAATTAAAGAAAAATAAATAAGTAAATAAGATATTTAGTACCTGTAGTACAGAATTCTAAAGCAAAGTCCTGATATGTAGAGAACTGTCACTGTTGCTATTCCCACTCTAAATCTGAAGTAATTAAACTATTTATATCAAACTATTTCTTATAATTTCATTATGGTGATTATAATATGGTCTGAGTGCTATCATGTTTGATTAGAGCTGTAATATTATATTATATTTTACAAGGAATTCTTGAAATTCTAAAGTTCAGGCGATAAAGCACGCGGAATTAACAACTCAGTCAATTTGCCAGTAAGCTGTTTAAAGGGACCGTTTACTTATTTGGGTAATTTCAGGGTAAACTAAACAGCCTATTCGCTGTTGATTGGTATCAGTCTTACTTTTCAAAAACAACTTGGCTGGAAAAAAGCCGATTTTTCGTTCAGAAAAATAAGACTAATACCAATCAACAGCGAATAGGCTGTTTAGTTTACACTGAAATTATCCAAAAAGTGAATGGTCCCTTTAATTTTCTATCCTTTTATTTTATTGTCGGCGGAAACCAAACGCATCTCGACCTGGTTTATAGTCCAGGGCACCCCACTCTAAAAGTTCCTTAATCAGAGTCGGTACAAAATGAACTGTGTATGCATTCAGTCGTACTGTCCAGTCTGGAATAACTAGTTCAAAGTCAGCCCAGCACGTTTTGTGCAACAAAGAAGCATATTTGATAACGTTGTGATTGTGATGAACATTTTAATTGTTAACTTACCCCCAGTCTGATATTTTGATTTTGTTCCCATCCTCGTCATAAATACTTTCAGGTCTGTAGAGCAGACAGTACACTAGCATTACTAAACAATAGGAGTGTACAGAGCAGGCAGTGCACTAACATTACTAAACAACAGGAGTGTACAGCAGGCAGTACACTAGCATTACTATACAATAGGAGTGTACATCAGACAGTACACTAGCATTACTATACAATATGAGTTTACAGCAGGCAGTACGCTAGCATTACTAAACAATAGGAGTTTGCATCAGGCAGTACACTAATTACTAAACAATAAAAATGTACAACAGGCAGTACACTCATTACTAAACAACAAAGAAGTACAGCAGACAGTACACTACCATTACTAAACAATAGGAGTGTACAGCAGACAGTACACTAGCATTACTAAACAATTGGAGTTTACAGCAGACCAACATTAGAAAATAAATGTCGTCTTTTATTGAAATTTAGAAGTTTTTAGAAATGTCTCGTCAATTGAATGAACTATAGATTAAATATATCTACCAATGAACTCTATGAAGAAGATGATCTGAAAGATGATCTGCCTGACGAAGGTCCTGGAGTGCTCCTGAGACCAGATTTAATGAATAAAAGAGGAAATCAAACTAGGGTTACCCACAAAGATTGAGACTTCTGAGTTCCGAGACGACTCTACGGAATTAATAACGTTTTTTTTGCCTTAAAATTTTTTCTTTCCTTAATCAATTATTAGAAAGCCCATAAACGACTTCATTAATGGCAGAATACTAGCTTAACCTTGAAAAAGGCATATCTAAAGAGTTTCAGGTCGTCTTTAGTCTCATTCTTCGTGGGTAAGCCTGTACGTATACTAAATCAAATCCATAGAAAATAGAATATATATTAGAGGGGAATTTAAAGAATCTCTCGGTATGAATTTTTTCAGTCCCTTTCAGCCGGAAAGGGAGTTCAAAGTGTACAAATCATGTAAATGTTCACAAATTATATGCAGTAGAGTACATTAATAAAGTATGGTCCCTAGACTATTCATTTCAATTTCGAATTTTTTAAAGCTGTTAATAAACTTTATGAAATGAATTAGGTGAATAAAAAACATCATTTGATTTATTCTTATAACGGAAAATCATCGTTTGTAAAGTGAAAGGCAAAGAGTCTATGTGAAATGATCATTGGTCAATTATGAAACCAGCCTATTTCATAATTTGGTTTTCTTTTAACATTAATTTTAGATTTTCTATAAAATGATATTCCAGGGCCCAAAAGGTTATATAGCATAAATATGTGAAGTACGCCTGCAGTATGGAAACAGTACAACAAAATGGCCGTTTTACACTTTTTTCTAGTAAATTCCCCTCTAATATATATTCTATTCTCTTTGATCAAATCACTTCTTTTCAGCTTGCATGATAATGATCCAGCGCACAAAAGAGTGGTACGTGGTTCACTAGAATCTTTCTAGACGGGGCGGATTCATTCAGTGTACGGTCCCGGTTTGCCTAATATAGTCTGTGTGTGTACTGTACTACTTGCTCAAGCAGCTCAAAAATCGACCAATTGGTTGAAATGAACCGGATCGAGTTTACAATGAGTTCAACTACTTCTGGAGCTATTGATTAAATCCTATCCCTGGTTTCTATTCTTGATATTGTAGATGGTATAGTTGGAGTAGGTGAAGATACTACTAAACGCATTGATCAGGGCTTCCATGTAGAAGATGGGGTGTTTACAGTGCTTCTAAACAAACAAATAAACACATTAGCTGCTGTTATTGTTATAGTGTGTGTTCAGGGTTCAGGATTCAAAGGGACCGTAGATGTACATTTGAAATACCCTTCATATAAAGAGGGGTTGTCCGATTCCCAATTGTTCCTCTATCTGAGTAACAATAAGGAACTGTCGTATTTCTATCTTGAATTGATTTCATAAAATCTGCAAAAACAAAAACGACAATTAAAATAATCAATTTTGAGCTAGAAAACATTACATTTGTACATAGGTACCTTTGTCAATTAGACATGCCACTCTATGAATGAAAGGCCACTTAAAATTACGCCCACAGTTCCTGTTTTGGAACGATTTCATTATTGATACATTCATGTGAAACCGTATTTTTACCTTAACTTAACATTTTTTCGGATTTAATACTCAATAATCATATTTGTATAATTTGATATTTATAAAAATATTTTAACATTTAGGCAAAATTTTCAGAAAATTGAAATAGAAAATTATTGACGTTTAAATATGTAGAATTTAACGTTTATAAGATAAACAAAAAAGTAACTTTATTCTAATGCTAAATTTGTAGGCTCTACACTACATTTACAGAATATAACACATATGAAAATATTCCTACCTGAGCTAGCTGGAGCCCCCTCACCTTAGCGTAAAATCAAACGTGTGCAGTTTAATTAATATTCCGCTAAAACTCTCCACAGTGGGTCCAGTGGTTCTATGGGGAGGGAGTATTGCTAGAACTATAGGGTTTCCAAGAAACAACTGCGCGACAGTTTTGCGTTTTTTCACAAAATGACTTTTTTGCGCGAAATTTTGTATCATTTTTGTATCAGTACGAAACCAGTTTTGCATGAAGTTGCGCATTCATTCACAATAAATCATTTTCCTTTGCACGAAATTGCGCATGAATACAGAATTTAAGTCATATTTTTTTGCATGATTTAGCGCATGAATACAAAATCAAAGTTTGCGCAAAATTTGTTGCATGGCATATAGTGCGAAAATATGAAAGATTTAAATATAGTACAGTATGATGTTAATCAGTTACTGATGACATCTTTGTCTTAATCTCTGTAAAAAGGGATGCATTTCTCTTGTTTGTCTGTCTGTTTGTTTGTTATTTATATCCGTTGGCTGAACCGAATTGGCGTAATGACATTGATGGCTGGTAAACGGTTAGTCGGTATCGGTCCGATGACGTAGGGCTCACCAGGGGCGCAGGTCATACTATGGCCCATAGTAGTGAGCGGCTCTGATTGGTTTAACTTTGGATTCCTGGAATTGTTTCTTGAAATTTTACAAAATAGGTCGAGATACCGAAATAGCTCGAAATAACGAAATAGGTCAAAAGAACGAAAGACTAGAAAATAACGAAATACGCAAAAACTAAGATTTTGTTAAGAATTTGCGCAAAATAGCTTTTGAGCATCAATGCGAAATTGAATCAAACTTTCGTGCAATTTATACTCGAAACGTAAGAAAATCTTTAGCGCAATTATTACACGATTTTCGTACAAATAATTTCAATTGGAAACCCTAAGAACTAAGACTTATTAGTTATGGAAAACAAATATTTTTTTTTAAGCCCATTGTGCATTTTTACGTAAACGTTGTGGCATTGAGCCCTTTCTAACGACACATACTGGCTTGTCAGATTCTGGTACGCGTCAGTGCTGGTTCTATGCTACCTGTTCTGCAGCTTGTACTCATAAACACCGCGCGAGGGAGGGAACCCCCGGACGCCATGAGCCTCTGTTATGCCTCCACTATACAGTAAACGAGCCTCCTCTATACAGTAAACGAGCCTCCGCTATACAGAATAGTTTACTTAAAACTCTTGGTTTTTACACGTAGTAAAAAAATGTTGTATTTTTTTTCGACATAGTGACATAAAAAGTTTTTCAAAGATTAATTATTATTATAAATAGTGACCAATTATGACTAGCAAAGTGGTTTATAAAACTTGAAACATTTTTTACGCAAAAAGGAAAACATATAGAGAAAAAAATCTGAAAATAATTTTATTTGATATTTTATAATCTTTGGTTTAGGCGATACTTTTTTATACAAATTTTAATCAGATTATGATAATCAAAAATTTGACATTGACAAATAATCTGAATCCAACATTTTTTCCAAAAAATCAAAGAATCAAACAAAATAAACTAATTTCAATTCAGAAATAAATTTTCAAATAGCCTCCTTACTGCATAAGAAATGTTTTATTGAAAAACATAAAACTTATAAAACACTTTATGTGTCAATATAAGATACAAATCATGAAAATCAATAAACAATAATAATCCTAAGTAAAATTCATGTGCCACTTTGTTGAAAAAATGAAAAAAATTCTTTCTTACACGTTAAACCAAAGAATTATAAAGGAAACTGTGCTCTATATAGCAGAGGCTCGTTTACTGCATAGTGGTGGCTCTTACTGCATGGTGAGGGCTCGGTCTGCCTAGCAAATATAGGAGGCTTGTTTCTGCATGGCGAAGGCTCATGGCGTCTGGGGGTCCCTCCCTCATAAACCTTTACTCTATCTAGTATAAGTCTATTTGTTTAACGTATTAAAAACCAGAAAGTGTACATTATATTGTGTTTTGCTTACCACTATAGAAGAATCGTTAAGAAGGATATTTAGGCAGAAACAGAAGAAAATGTGACCATAGAAGAAATACAGGGACCATCTCCAGTCTACCTTCCCTAAACAAACAAATACAATTTTCGCAATATTTTAAGAAAGTGTCTACTCATTTTTATTACAATAAAATGAAATATCTATAAAGCTCAGTTACATGTACAGGAGCTTATACAACCCTGTTCCCTCCCATGCCCAGAAGAAATGGCAAAGTTTCGCCCCAGACCAGATTTACAAATTTCTGTATACACCACTGAAATTTGATCTTTTTAAGCCTCATGTTTTAAAGGGTTTTCAACAATACACACACATTTTTTACATTTTTAATTCTCAGAAAAAAAATATTGAGATTAAATTGTTATGATTCCAAGAGAATATTTTTTATTTTAAACCTCTGTAACTTCAGTTCAGCGTTCTGACGATTCATTTCCCCCTCTAAAGTTTAACGTAGACGTTGTATACCACATTAGTGTCAGGAATGGACAACAGTTAGCCCGGTTAATGAAGTTGGATACCACATTAGTGTTAGGAAAGGACAACAGTTAGCCCGGTTAATGAAGTTGGATACCACACTAGTGTCAGGAATGGACAACAATTAGCCCGGTTTATGAAGTTGGATACCACACTAGTGTCAGGAATGGAGCCCGGTTTATGAAGTTGAATACCACACTAGTGTCAGGAATGGATAACAGTTAGCCCGGTTTATGAAGTTGGATACCACACTAGTGTCAGGAATGGACAACAATTAGCCCGGTTTATGAAGTTGAATACCACACTAGTGTCAGGAATGGATAACAGTTAGCCCGGTTTATGAAGATGGATACCACACTAGTGTCAGGAATGGACAACAATTAGCACGGTTTATGAAGTTGGATACCACACTAGTGTCAGGAATGGATAACAGTTAGCCCGGTTTATGAAGTTGTATACCACACTAGTGTCAGGAATGGACAACAATTAGCCCGGTTTATGAAGGTAAACCTCAATTTGTATGTTTGTTCAGTGATAACGAGTTAAGTCCTTTAAGCTTAACGAAATCCCATACTTTCACCCTCTGCTAAGTGAATTAATGTGTAACCTTTTTGATTTTGATCTGTATATGAGAAAAATGTGAAGATGACCAGCCTAGCGAGGATTTCAGTAGCAAAGGTCAGGATTAGGATTAACCTGGCAGCAGGACTAGATTTAAAATCCAGGGCACCTAAACAGTTTATTTATCATCATTATCTTTTACTTTTTCAAGGGCTTATACATAAATAAATCTTTGAGGGGGGCGGCAAATTTTTTTTGACCCGCCCCCCCTAGGAGCTTCTAGGGGGGGGGGATTTGAACTGTAAACCCAGAACATTTGGCTTCTTGGATACTTTAAATGTACACATACAGTCCAATTATAATTGGTATACCTCACAAGTACTACTTTAGCTCTGAGTTCTGAGTTTACAGGTCCAGGTGGGGCAACTGCACCTCTAGCCCCCCCCCCTGTATACGCCCTTGCACTTTTCGCTTTTTATATTATTATATCCTTTTTTATATTGATATATTAATATTAGAATATTTCAAGTTCCCTCGTTCCTTTCATCTGGTTTTCTTTTTTTGCCTTTTGTCTTTCTTCATCTTTATTTATTTAAGTTATATATTATACAAAACTGTTTTTTTCAACCCTTTAAACCTTTAACTTATCCAAGCCTATAAGTGAATTTTGTACTTATAATACACAAAATTTCGTAATATACAATTAACTTATTTTCGGTGGCTGTACAATTGTGTATTGGTCGTTTGTAAACAGGCGCAACCGAAACTGGACTTGAACCTAAACATTAAATTCAACCCGGTATTCAAACCTTCGTCGCAGTTATTGTGTTATTGTGTCGACATAAGCCAAATTAAATTGAATGTAAACAGAACGCTTATTCAGTTTTTAGCCACCGAAACCGAGTTTATAGTGTATTTTAGAATAAATTTGTGTACAATAAATAAATATTCTTAGTTATGGCCCACCCTTGATCAAGGATGACGGACGTATCCTTATTTATCTGAAGAATTAACACTTGTAATTGTTGAACACTTTGTTTGCAAGCTGTTTTACTTTTGAGAAATATTTATATTTCTTTTAAGAAGTCTAAGAAAAAAACATTTTTACATTCATTTTTTTTAAATTGCTTTGGATATTTGACATTTTTGACATTTTCGAAGAACCTCAGTTATTTTGAGTTCACACTGAACATTAGCGTTGACCCCAGTGTTACGCCAATTTGAACATCCCTTTAGAGATGAACACACGTAGTTCTCTGCCCTCGATAATCAGTCAAAGACAAATCTGGCAATTGTGGGTCACTTAAAATTATTGAAATTACGCAAGCAGTCCCTTTAAATTTTTGCAGATGTTTCTTCATCTTCCCTCCTATCTTGCTATTTCTCTTTTCTTGTTTTCTACCTTTCTTAGAGTGGACCTTGAATGCGGAGTTAACCCAGACCAGGGACACGTAGGAGGTAATTATGGCAAAACTTCTAAACAAAATAATTTATACAGGGTGTCGAGAGGAAACGTGATTTACTTTCTAGATCCAACATTTTAAAGAAGACATCAATGATGTCTGAAAAAAAATTAGCTTTAAACAATGAATCAATTTCAAAGATAATTATCAAAGAAAAAAATAAACACTTGCCAAAAACTCTAATTTTTTAAGCGCTTTATCTTTTTGTCTGATGATGTATAACTTCGATATTACTAATTTCGATGATTTTATATTTCAGAATTCATATTTTGAAATATCAGAGTTTTACAAAATTAGAAATAGTGTTCAGTTCTTTTCTAACTTATTTTATCGTTTCTAGACTGAAGAATTTAAAGCAATTTTTCTAGCTCTTTGGTTCTGCCATTTTGAGTATCAGATACAGAGGTTTAGATACAGAGTGTCGGATACAGAGTGTCAGATACAGAGTGTCTGATACATAGGGTTAGATACAGAGTGTCGGATAGAGAGTGTCAGATACAGAATGTCAGATTCAGAGTGTCAGATACAGAGTGTCGGATTCAGAGTGTCAGATACAGAGTGTCGGATTCAAAGTGTCGGATACAGAATGTCGGATAAAGAGTGTCAGATACAGAATGTCATGTTCAGAGTGTCAGATACAGAATGTCATGTTCAGAGTGTTAGATACAGAATGTCATGTTCAGAGTGTCAGATACAGAGTGTCAGATACAGAATGTCGGATACAGAGTGTCGGATTCAGAATGTCTGATTCAGAGTGTCGGATTCAGAATGTCGGATAAAGAGTGTCAGATACAGAATGTCAGATACAGAGTGTCAGATACAGAGTGTCAGATACAGAATGTCATGTTCAGAGTGTCAGATACAGAGTGTCGGATTCAGAGTGTCAGATAAAGAGTGTCAGATACAGAGTGTCAGATACAGAGTGTCAGATACAGAGTGTCAGATACAGAATGTCAGATTCAGAGTGTCAGATACAGAGTGTCAGATACAGAGTGTCTGGAACATAGCGTCAGATACAGAGTTTTAGATACAGAGTGTCGGATTCAGAGTGTCAGATACAGAGTTTCCGATAAAAAATGTTGGATACAGAGTGTCAGATATAAAAAGTTAGATAAAGAGAGCCAATTACACTCTATAGAGTGTCAGTCAGATACAGAGTCCCAGACAAAAAGTGTCAGATACAGAGAGTCAAATAAAAAGTGTCAGATACAGAGAGTCAAATAAAAAGTGTCCGATACAAAGTTAAAATAAAATAAAGTATAAATAAAGAATACAAACCTGTTTTGTAAATCGAACTTATCAAAATCATAAGAATGAACAGCCATCAAAATCCTGCAGAACGGAAAAACGCTTCAATAACCTCCAGAAAAAAGATGGGTTTAAGAAAATGCATACTTATCTTTAATATTGAAATATTATATTCTAAGCTTGTCGTTTTGTCCCTGAGAATGTTTGGTGTGAAAAGGATAAAATTAATATAAAGTTGATAGTTAGCCTCCAGACTAGTTTCTATAACAGCTATCACTACCATTAGTTTAGAAACTGCTATCAGATCAGACTGCTGCTTATTCCTGTCAGGACCTGAATACTTGGAGTTAAAGGGACTCTTCACATTACTTCAAGTGACCATCCATTAAAGCCTGATTCACAACGGTACTCCTTAAACCGTTGAATGAATGAAATATCTCAATCTTTCTTGCTGAAAATTGATTATTTTCAATAGTGTTTTTTTTTCTGTTAAGGGACTTGCGGATTCATGCCTTGCATGAATGACTGTATTGTCACACATAAGGAGGTTTAAAGGGTTTTTGTTGTGAATCAGACATGCCACTTTTTCTTTTTTTGATTGTTCCTTTAAGAGGAGGGTTAGAAAGAAAAAAAAATAATGTTTTCTTTTCTATATTGAACCTTAACCCCTAGGAGTAGAAAATGATCGCCTTTTTAAAAGTCGAGTTCACTACTTTCTACTTTCGAAAAAATATTGTAAAAAATAACCTTTAGGGCATAGATTATACTGAATAAACTGGTACATTCGCATAAACTTGGAGGTTACTGGGGATATTATCAAACCTAGAATATTATTATTAGTATTATTATTAATATCATTATCATTAATATCATTATTATTATTATTATCATTTTATTCTCATAATTGTATTTATAAATGTTTTTTTTTTATTAATTTTCAAAAGATAATAACTCTGTCATTTTTGAAGATATCTAAGTTCTCTAAAAGCCAATGAAAGATTAGATTGGCACTTTTGATAATTTATTGAAACATAAATACAACATAAAAACGAATTTAAGATTTTTCAATAAATGTTTTGTAGCAAATTTTTTACTTTGTCTATAAAATTGTAAGCGATACGAAGCAGGTTTGTTGACCATAAACCTGTCTCATAACCCCCACCCTCACGTAATATCGTCTTTACCAGCCCCAAATCCAAACCAAACAATTTCTCCGAGTCTACCTCTCTAACCTGACAAAGGAAAATCGAAACAGTGAAACGTTTTACTAAGTGAAACATCAAATCCATAAATAACTTTGAAATCCATAGTAAATTCCACTTAAAACTGGGTTTATATTTTCAGAAGTATTTACAAATGTTTTAAACTATTCCATAAACCCTCAAATCCTTAATCACTCCTTATCACCCCGATACGAAAAACTGGTAAGATATATTATTAATTATTCAACAACATTTATGTTATTTATTTTTACTAAACCTGCATTTTATTGCAGGTTTGAAATATATTCATTTATGTGATTATTTGCAACTTAGTGCCAGAGTTCAGGAGCCCAACCAACAAACCAACAAACCAATGAACCAACTAACCAACTAACCAACTAACAACTAACCATCAAATCAATTAACCAACAAACCAACTAACCAACTAACCAACAAACCAATTAACCAACAAACCAACTACTAACCAACTAACCAATTAACTAACAAACCAATTAACTAACAAACCAATTAACTAACAAACCAATTAACTAACAAACCAACTAACCAACGAACCAACTAACCAACTAACCAATTAACCAACTAACCAACTAACCAACTAACCAATTAACCAACTAACCAACGAATCAACTAACCAAAGAACCAACTAACCAATGAACCAACTAACTAATGAACCAACTAACCAATGAACCAACTAGTCAATTAACCAATTAGCCAACCTCCATGTATCGACACCCAGCCTATAGTTTTACAAGGTTATCTCTTGGAATCTGGGATGCATATTTCTCAACAATCATCTTCAGCTCAGGGATTTTTTTGATTTTCCTCTGATTGACTTCGGACTCTTAAGAAGTAGAAACCCAAGGGGTTCAAGTCAAAAATGTTTGTTACGCTTTGAATGAATATGTAGATTTCTCTATTTATATTTTGCGGATTTTCATTATAGATTGCCAGCAGTGCCAAATCTCATATTTCATTTAATATTTTTATTCAACTACAAAGCACGAGATAATACAAATAAAAAAATCACAATTTACTATGTAGTTTGGACCCGCCTAACCAGAGTAGGTTGTTTTAATTGGTTGGCCCACTATAAACGAATGAGAATTGCAGATAAAAACAATGTACATTGTACATTTTAAACATAAGAATGATAATAAATCAGGTAAAAGGTAAGGAGGAGGTGAGGGAGTATAAAGAAAAGGGAGGATACTCAGCGTAAGGGTTGGAACAGAGGGTAACATAAGTTGTTAGAATCATGTTTATGAACTAGAGGGTGAAGAAGATAGTAAAGACTAAGTTTATCCACATGATACACAGTTTTTTTTACAGATATAATTTGCATAACTATCTAAATAGATCTTGGCGACTTTTCTTTTAAACGATTTTGCAGATTTAGTTTCTTTAAGCTCTAATTCAATCGAATTCCATATTTTTGGAAATAAGGCAGAGGGAAAACATTCTAGGGTTTTAAAGAGAACTCGTTCAAGTTTATATGATTTTGTTCTATTTGGTTCAGCTAAAGAATTAAACATATCCTGGAAGGAAGCTGGAAGGTTTTCATAAAAGTATTTATGCATAAAAGATAGAACACCTAGTTTATATGTATCATCAAGATTTAGGAGTTCTAATCTGAAAAATATTGGATCTGAATGTGCCTTAAATGAACTATTATTTACTGCTCTAATTGCCCTTTTTTGCAAAGACTTGATTTTCTGTAGTTTAGCATTTTTTACGCCCCCCCCATGTTATAATTCCATACTCAATATGTGGCCTTACAAGTGCATTATAGACTAGTAGACGAATGTTTAACGGTAAAATGTTTTTAATCTGATTCAGAGCAAAAATTGAGCTAGCAATCTTATTGGAAACATGTTCAATTTGATAGTCCCAATTTAAAAATTCATCAATTTTGAGTCCAACAAATTTGAAATATTTATTTGTACAGTCAGTTCCTATTCTTTCTAGTATCTCATTTCCAATTTTTAATTTGCAGTTCTCAGGATCAAAATGCAAATTTTTATTCCTAAATATCATAAACTTTGTTTTGAAACATTTAGTGTTAAACGGTTTGCCTGAAACCATGCAGCTGCCTTTTTAGTTCAAAGTTCGCATCAATTACTAAAGTTTCGATATGTGGAGATGATTTTAGAAAACTAGTGTCATCAGCAAATAGATTAGTAAAAAAAGACGTTGCTAATGGCAAATCGTTTATGTATATGAGAAAAAGTAGGGGCCCAAGAACACTTCCCTGGGGAACACCACATAAAATTGTTTTTTTCTTTAGAAAAAATACCATTTATACAAACATATTGAGTCCTATTTACTAAATAGTTTTGAAACCATGTGTTAGCTACATTTTTAAAACCGTAATACTCTAGTTTTTTTAAAAGAATATCTAAGTTGCAACAGTCAAAAGCTTTCTTAAGATCTAAAAAAATTCCCAGTGTAAATTCTGGTTGGGGTTTATTAAGATTTTCGTAAATTTTATTCATTAGGTGTAGTAAAGGTTGATTAGTATTATGTTGTGGTCTAAATCCATATTGATGTTGATAGAAAATCTCAAACTTGTTAAGATATTTAAACATTTGAGTCGCAGCCATTTTTTCAAGAAGTTTACTTAGCGCTGGTAGAATACTAATTGGTCTGTAGTTATTAAATTTATCTTTTTGTTCAGTTTTAAAGATAGGAATTATTTTTGCACATTTATAATCACTAGGGATATATCCTGTTTTAAAAGAAAGGTTAAACAAATGCGCTATAGGATAGACAATACTTTCAATTATTTCCTTCAGTAGCTTGGTAGAAATGTTGTCCTTACCTGAACTGTTTTTAGGTTTAGAGAGAACTGAGACATCATAAAAATTTTTAAGACTCTTTAGCGTTTGAAAATTGAAATTAAAAAAATAGCTATCATTATCCATGTTATTGATTTAATGATATTTTTATTATCCGTGTATTACATATTTTTAACACTTTATTATTATTATCATTATTATCAGAAAATTACCTAAAACTTTGATTGATTTTCTTGATTTGATAGGAATATTCTCAAACTGGTTTGCCATGAGGTAGTCGAAGATGAGGAAGAGTATGAAGGGGATAAAAATGTGGAGAAAGGAGAGGATGGATAATATCAACCAATCATTCTTCTCAAATCTAGGAAGAATAGGATGGATAATATCAACAAATCATTATAGGAAGAATAGGATGGATTATATCTTTAATCATTCTTCTCAATTCTAGGAAGAATAGGATGGATAATATCATCCAATCATTCTTCTCAAATCTAGTTTTCATATTCACCTGGAACAGTTAATTTCATTTTCTTCAGAAAAACCTAAAATATTTTTATTTAAAAACCAAGTTTTTTTTTCTATTTAAGTATCAGGAATTGACTCTTTGTTATTTCGATCTACTGAAAGCATCATGAAATTGTGAAATAGAATGGTACGGATAATTTAGTCTTTGCCACAAACTCATATTTTCTAATTCATATATCTTTGCAATCTGATGGCGTAAACCTTGATTTTATATACAAACTTAATTTATTTGAGGTCTACGACATTGGGTTGCGTATAGATTAGAAAATTTGAGTTTTGGAAAAGACTTAATGCCTAAAAATTCCTAATTTCGAACAAAATATTTCTAATATCGAACAAAAAATTCCTAATTTCGAACAAAATGTTCCTAATTTTGAACAAAATATTCATAATTTCGAAAAAATATATTCCTAATTTCGAACAAAATATATTCTTAATTTCGAACAAAATATTGCTAGTTTGGAAAAAAATATTCCTAATTTCGAAAAAAATATTCCTAATTTCGAAAAAATATATTCCTAATTTCGAAAAAATATTTCTAATTTCGAAAAAATATATTCCTAATATACAAAATATTCCTAATTTCGAACAAAATACTCTTAATTTCGAACAAAATATTCCTAATTTCGAACAAAATATTCCTGATTTCGAAACGATTTCGATATAAAGATGAAACTTTTGAGGTTTCTTAGAATAATGAAGTAAATTAAAACTTAATGGGTTTATGTAAAAATTTTGAGATTACTTTTAGCGATTTGAAAAATCTCACAAGTCACCGATATGGTAAATCAATATCATTATTGAATTGTAATGATTCTTTAATTTTTCGCGAACACTCCCTTTAATTAATTACCTTTTATAGTGTTGTTGCTGGGATAGAAGAAAATACAACTTGCAGTTTCAACTGAAACCTGGATTCAAGAAGAGAATGCTAGGGATGAAAGAAGGATGAGAGAGGGGTGAGAGAGGGGGGGGGGGCATGCTATGAGACTTGAAAACAATGTTTATATAGAAACTATTTCTCAAGATATTTTGTAACTGAGCTATAACTTCTGACTAAGTCTCGATCGAAAAAACGTATGTGAAAAACTAATATTTAGCACATAAAACTATTTTTTAAAATTTATAATCTAATCAGAATAATCTTATCAGAATAATCTTATCAGAATAATCTTATCAGAATAATCTTATCAGAATAATCGTATCAGAATCTGGTGTGTGAGGTTAATATGTAATCTGGAAGTTTCCTTCTTCCCTTGATGTCAGTGCTAAAATCAAAAGCCCACAATGTTGTGCTGAAGACAAAGGGAATTCCACCTTTAATTAATTAAACCATTTAATTCATTTTCATCAAAATTGAATTTTTGAAAAAATTTTTTTTAATGCAGAATGCTAGAGAAAGAAACATTCAAATTTTTATAGAAAAAATGGATTTGTTTCCTTGGAGAAAAATTTTAATTTTTTCCTGCGGAGTCATTTCATATCGGCCCATTAAACTCTCCAGAGTGTCTCTACCCTTACTGAAAATATTTTAATTTAATATGTCATTTAGTTGATTTAGTTGATTTGATTGATTTGATTGATTTAATTGATTTGATTGATTTGATTGATTTGATTGATTTAATTGATTTAATTGATTTGATTGATTTGATTGATTTGATTGATTTGATTGATTTGATTGATTTGATTGATTTGATTGATTTGATTGATTTGATTGATTTGACTGATTTGATTGATTTGATTGATTTCATTGATTTCATTGATTTGATTGCACTTTTGTATCTATTTGATCTGACTGATCCTCCTAGAATGAGGCCAAAGAGCCTGGAACAGTTATACAATCCTCTAATGCCAGCAAGAAGATTGAGATTAATGGAACTTTCAACTGTAAGACCAGAAATGTTGTTTACTGTATTACATGTGAACACTGTAAACTACAATATATAGGACAGACAACAAGATCTTTAGATGAAAGAGTGAGAGAACATATTGGTTACATTAGAAATCTCCATACAAACCAGCCTACAGGAGGAAATTTTAACCTTCCTGGACATGAACTCTACCATCTAAAAGCGTACAAGAGAAGGTTTGGGACCTTGGGAGAAGTTTACTTGATAAGAGATTTTATTTAATTGTGAACTGTAATTCAGTATTTTTTTTTAAAAAAGGAGTATTGTTTATTTCCAATTCTTTAAAAGGTTTAAATACCCCTCCTTTGACAAGCCCCCCCCCTGATTTACGTTAAAGTTCGTTGATTAGATCGACCCCCACCACCACTTTATACATTATACAGTATACATATAAACAGTTTGTTTTTAATCTTCATGACAGAAACAATCTCAAGTAATAATAATTTTCTTAAAACATTCTTTAAAAAGTGAATATTTGCAAATTATCTTTTTTCCATCTCATGATCTGAGTTCGTTTACCTTTTGTCCATTTGACAGCCCATTTAAAAGTTTTTTTTTTAAATAATCTTTTTTGTTTGTTTATTTTCTTGTGGTTTTTAACATCGATTTTGATGGTTATTATATCGTTAGAACCGTTAGAAATATATTTTCAATAAAATGTGGAACTAACATCTACTTTTTTTTCTTTAAAGAGGTTTGGTCCATTACCGAATAGATCTAATAGAATAGATCCAATAGATCTAATTGATTTGATTGATTAAACTGATATTTGTTATTTGATTTAATTTATTTAATTGATCAAATTGAACAAATTAATAAAATTGATCTAATTAAAATCATTGATCTAATTAATCTAATTGATTTAATTGATTTAATTGATTTCATTGATCTAATTGATTAAATTAAAATAATTGATCTAATTGATCTATACCTGGAAGTAGGAAGAAGAGCTTTTATCTTGTTAAGAGCATCTTTTCTATCCTCATATTTCTCCCTGATAAGGTCTAAACCTTCCTCCTTCTGCCTGGTCAAACTAGAACCCTAAATCAGGATAATGATTAGGTCTAAACCCTCCTTCTTCCTTCTGCCTGGTCAAACTAGAATCCTAAATCAGGATAATGATCAGGTCTAAACCCTCCTCCTCCTTCTGCCTGGTCAAACTAAAACCCTAAACCAGGATAATGATTAGTTCTAAACCCTCCTCCTTCCTTCTGCCTGATCAAACTAGAACCCTAAACCAGGAGAATGATTAGACACTCCTCCTTCTGCCTGGTCAAACTAGAACCCTAAACCAGGAGAATGATTAGACACTCTTCCTTCTGCCTGGTCAAACTAGAACCCTAAACCAGGAGAATGATTAGACACTCTTCCTTCTGCCTGGTCAAACTAGAACTCTAAACCAGGAGAATGATTAGCTCTTTGTAACTTTAACTGAACCTTAGTTTAAAGGATTACGAATGTTTAAACCTTAACGCGAGTTTTAAGAATTACGAATAAATTTTTTTTCAAACTAAACCTGGGGTTGAAGGTTTACAATTAGATTGTTTAAACATAAACCTGAGTTTGAAGGATTACGTATACATTGTTTAACTAAACCTGAGTCTGAAGGATTACGTTTATATTGTTTAAACTAAACCTGAGTTTAAAGAATTACAAATATAGATTGTTTAAACACAAACCTGAGTTTGAAGGATTACTAATATAGATTGTTTAAACTAAACCTGAATTTGAAGAATTACGAATATAGATTGATTAAGCTAAACCTGAGTTTGAAGAATTACGAATATAGATTGTTTAAACATAAACCTGAGTTTGAAGGATTACCACGAATAGGTTGTTTAAACTAAACCTGAGTTTGATTGTTTAAACATAAACCTGAGCTTGAAGGATCACGAATAGATTGTTTAAACATAAACCTGAGTTTGAAGGATTACGAATATAGATTATTTAAACTAAACCTGAATTTGAAGGATTACACATATAGATTGTTTAAACTAAACCTGAGTTTGAAGGATCACGAATAGATTGTTTAAACATAAACCTGAGTTTGAAGGATTACGAATATAGATTGTTTAAATTAAACTTGAGTTTGAAGGCTTACGAATAGATTGTTTAAACTAAACCTGAGTTTGAAGGATCACGAATAGATTGTTTAAACCAAACCTGAGTTTGAAGGATCACAATTAGATTGTTTAAACTTAAACCAGAGTTTGAAGGATTACAAATATAGATTGTTTAAATTAAACTTGAGTTTGAAGGATTACGAATAAATTGTTTAAACTAAGCCTGAGTTTGAAGGATCACGAATAGGTTGTTTAAACTAAACCTGAGTTTGAAGGATTACGAATAAAGATTGTTTAAACTAAACCTGAGTTTGAAGGATCACGAATAGATTGTTTAAACTAAATCTGAGTTTGAAGGATCACGAATATAGATTGTTTAAACTAAACCTTTAAACTAAACCTGAGTTTGAAGGATCACGAATAGATTGTTTAAACTAAACCTGAGTTTGAAGGATAACGAATAGATTGTTTAAACTAAACCTGAGTTTGAAGGATCACGAATAGATTGTTTAAAGTAAACCTGAGTTTGAAGGATCACGAATAGGTTCTGACCAAATAGATTTTCCATTGCGTAGAGTTCATGTTTAGAAACCTAAATAAAGTCTCATCAAAATATGTAAGATGAACTTGCAGTTAAAGATTAAAGATAATACTACTACAAATAATAATAATAATAATGAAAATAAAAAAAATAAAAATAATAATAATCAAAATATTTATAATAATTAATAATAAAAATAATAGTAATAATAAAAAAATAATAATGATAATAATAACAATAATTATAATGATAATAATCTATATATAAATTTGGCTTGTCTGTCTGTCTGTTTCAAATCAAATCAAATCAAATTATATATTTAGCCACAAACTATACATGTAAAAATGGATATTTATAATTAACATTAGTTGAAATTACAGTTTATGGCAGTGAGACGGAACTAGCCGAAACTGTTTTCAGTCGGTCTCCCGTACAATCAGTCTTTAATAAAAAATTTAACTTGAAAAGTTTCAAAAAAATATATTTAGGAAGGTTGGTGTTCCTGGCAGAGAAAGGTGAGGGTTCCTTTAAGAAGTCTGGTGGCTAAAAACTAGCATTTGAAATAAAAGATATGATTCCTGGCTGAAAAGATCCACAGGCTGGTCAAGCGAGAAACAAAGCTATAATTGAGAATTAATTAAGAATTTGAGCAACTGAAACAATAAAGTTTATCACATCTAAAGTCTAAATATTTATCAAGCAAGAATTTTTTAACACTTAATTTAAACCCAAGCTTGCTCTCAATTTGTTTAATATTAGGATCAAAATCATTCCATAACAAAGGAAAGCTGAAAAAAGGAAACTTTTTAAAAAAATCATTTCGGACCCTTGGTAGAAAAAAATCATCAGCATTTCTTAGAGGATAAGGGTGATCCGTTAAGGCTGAATTTTTTTATAAAAACACCATCGTAGTTAACAGTAGAATATTTCTGATCTATAGAATGCATAATTAATAATTGCTGTTGAATTATTAGGTTAGGAAGAGGCAGAATATCTAATGAGGAAAATAAAGGTTGAGAGTGGGAATTATACGAGGCTTTAGAAATTATGCGTACGCATTTTTTCTGAAGCAAGTATAGTGTTTGTTTGTTTGTATCAAATAAACGTCTAAACGGCTGAACCGATCGGGCCCAAATTTTTTGTGGGACATCTAGGGACCCCAGGGCAGGTTTATGAATGATCAAATTTCAAATATTTGTGTCCATCAAAATTCGATCTTCATTAAATTTTGAAAATTTTGAAAATCCGCAAAATTTTTTGTGAAAATCCGCGAATTATTTTTGTTTTGTTTTACGATGTACACAAAGAGAACATGTTTACAATTAATTTAGAAGATTGGCGCGAAGCGCCCTCTAAGGCTAGTAATTATATAAAACCTGAGCTTTTGCTGGATTCTTGGTGAGCATATAGGACAAAGCTTCTGATTTACCGGTAGATGCAAGGTAGGTGAGAATACTAAAAATTAAAACAATATTTCTATTAATTTCTTTTCTCTAAACTCCAGACTCAGATCTAAAATTATTCCAACTACAGGTAGAATTGTACTCTAAGTACTCAAAGATAAGCCATGATTTACCTGTCTTCGTTTTCTCCGTAGGTTTGCTTCATGATCCTGATAACCTGGGCAGATATCTCCTGAATCTTATGCTGAAGCTGGAGCTTATCTCTTGTTATACTGCATCTATATAAACACAAGACAGATGAATAAAGCCCTAACTACCCATATTCAGAAATGGTGAACATAATTCATTGGGTGGAGATGTATAGGGTTCACGATGTGGTGGAGAAGGGTAGGGTTCACGATGTGGTGCAGAAGGGTAGGGTTCACGATGTGGTGGAGAATGGTAGGGTTTACAATGTGGTGGAGAAGGGTAGGGTTCACGATGTGATGGAAAAGGGTAGGGTTCACGAGGTGGTGGATAAGGGTATACGGTTCACTAGGTGGTGGAGAAGGGTAGGGTTCACGAGGTGGTGGAGAAGGGTAGGGTTCACGATGTGGTGGAGAATGGTAGGGTTTACGATGTGGTGGAGAAGGGTAGGGTTCACGATGTGGTAGAGAAGGGTAGGGTTCACGATGTGGTGGAGAAGGGTAGGGTTCACGATGTGGTGGAGAAGTATAGGGTTCACGATGTGGTGGAGAAGGGTAGGGTTCACGATGTGGTGGAGAATGGTAGGGTTCACGAGGTGGTAGAGAAGGGTAAGGTTCACGAGGTGGTAGAGAAGGGTAGGGTTCACGAGGTGGTGGAGAAGGGTAGGGTTCACGAGGTGGTGGAGAAGGGTAGGGTTTACGAGGTGGTGGAGAAGGGTAAGACTCACGATGTGGTGTAGAAGGGTAGGGTGAACTATTTGGCGGAGAAGGGTAGGATTCACAATGTGGTGGAGAAGGTATGGTCCACGTTATGGAAGAGAAGGGTAGGGTTCACTAGGGGGTGAAAATCTGTAGGGTTCACGAGGGGGTGGAGAAGGGTAGGGTTCATGAGGAGGTGGAGAAGGGTGTGGTTCACGATGGGGCGGAGAAGGGAATAGGGTTCACGATGTGGTAGAGAATGGTAGGGTTCACTAGGTGGTGGAGATGGTAGGGTTTACGAGGTGCTGGAGAAGGGTTGGGTTCACGAGGGGGTGGAGAAGAGTAGGTTTCACGAGGTGGTGGAGAAGGGTATAGGGTTCACGAGGTGCAGGAGAAGGTTTAAAAAGGGGGTGGAGTGATAATGTATCCCCTACCTCTCTGGTATTTGGTATTGTTTAGTTTTGTTTCCCAGGAGCATTGATTGCTTCTCATACATCTCAGCTTCCAGAACTATTGCTTGTACTAGCAGGACAGTGTTGTCGTCTTCACATTAAAACAGATTTAACAAGTTTTCTAGCAATACAGTCTCAGTCAGAACAAAAATTATTAAACTTATAGGGGCTATAGGGACTATAGGGACTATAGGGGCTATAGGGACTATAGGGACTATAGGGACTATAGGGACTATAGGGACTATAGGGACTATAGGGACTATAGGGGCTATAGGGACTATAGGGACTATAGGGACTATAGGAACTATAGGGACTATAGGGACTATAGGGACTATAGGGACTATAGGGACTATAGGGGCTATAAGCGAAATTTCATGTGACCCTGGATGCAAAGATGCAATGCCTAAATCACAACTGTACCCTTAAAGTCTTTGTCGGATCAAGTATGAATTAGATATCAATGTTTATGTTTATTTTTATTTGTCGGTTCTCTGCAAAAGGGACTTGCCACATTTCTTGCTTATATAAAACAAAGGATAAATACACAGAAATAAGCACTTTGATTCAGAAAACGACGTAGAGGGGCACTTAAATTTACCTTACAGTCCCTTTAACAATTAGGTCTTAATTATATTTCGAGGTCTTGTGCTCAACAAACATATAAAAAGGATTATTTTAATGAAATGAGTTTTTGCCACAAATTGGAATTTTTTTAATCCTTACATCTTTTCAATCTGATGTCTTAGGTCTTTGATATTTCAAACTATGAATTCTGTTAGATCAAATAGTCTCAGTTTGAAAAATCAAAGGTGTACACAATCAGTTTGCAAAGATATAGACATTAGAAAATTTGATTTGTTATAGCAAATACTCAGTTTCTTTCATTTCAAAAGCTTTCTGAATATTTTAAATGAAGTTTGTTGCCTGGTCTGAAAATATTTATGCAAACCTGAGAGCTGTTTACAGATGTAGATGAATAGGAATTCCTGATCATCAAGGTTCCAGGAGAAAATAATTATACAAACCTGAAAGTTGTTTACAGATGTAGATGAATAGGAACTTCTGATCATCAAGGTTCAAGGAGAAAATAATTATGGAAACCTGAGAGCTGTTTACAGATGTAGATGAACAGGAACTTCTGATCATCAAGGTTCAAGGAGAAAATAATTATACAAACCTGAGCGCTGTTTACAGATGTAGATGAACAGGAACTTCGGATCATCAAGGTTCAAGGAGAAAATAATTATGCAAACCTGAGAGCTGTTTACAGATGTAGATGAATAGGAACTTCTGATCATCAAGGTTCAAGGAGAAAATAATTATGCAAACCTGAGAGCTGTTTACAGATGTAGATGAATAGGAATTCCTGATCATCAAGGTTCAAGGAGAAAATAATTATACAAACATGAGCGCTGTTTCCAGATGTAGATGAATAGGAACTTCTGATCATCAAGGTTCAAGGAGAAAATAATTATACAAACCTGAGCGCTGTTTACAGATGTAGATGAACAGGAACTTCTGATCATCAAGGTTCAAGGAGAAAATAATAATGCAAACCTGAGAGCTGTTTACAGATGTAGATGAATAGGAACTTCTGATCATCAATGTTCAAGGAGAAAATAATTATACAAACCTGAAAGTCGTTTACAGATGTAGATGAACAGGAACTTCTGATCATCAAGGTTCAAGGAGAAAATAATTATGCAAACCTGAGAGCTGTTTACAGATGTAGATGAACAGGAACTTCTGATCATCAAGGTTCAAGGAGAAAATAATTATGCAAACCTGAGAGCTGTTTACAGATGTAGATGAATAGGAACTTCTGATCATCAAGGTTCAAGGAGAAAAACATTCGTCTAAAATTAAAAGTTTAAAGGAATTTAAAGTTTTAAACGATTTAAAAATATTTTTTATTAAGTAACAATTAAAAAAAAATAATCTATTAATATTTTATATTTATCAGTTATATTTTGATTGTCTGTCTGTTATAGTCCCATCATAACTCATGAACCCATTAACCGATTTGCCTCACATTTTGAATAGGATAACTCGGAGGAACGACGGGAATGGTCATAGTCTGGTTTATAAGTTCTAAACTGAGTTGGTTCAATTTTATAGGGAAAACATGGCTTCCAGGCAAAGTTGAGTTTCTAAGCTATTAATTATATAAAGCATAAATAAAGCATAAACAAAAGATGAATGAAAGGAGTTTTTGCCATAAATCCCAATTTTATAACACCTAAATCTCAACAACCAGATGATGCATACCTTTCATATTTCAAGCTTACATTATTTGATCCACCAGAATTCATAGTTTGAAATATCTACGGTCTACGACATTTGGTTTTAAAGAAATTGGGATTTAAAAATCCGAGTTTGTGGCAAAAACTCAATTCCTTTGAATGGGAAGATGAAAAATAAAAAGTATTAATTCAAATCAATTAAGCAGAGCCCAAAACTTATGAATAAAGTTATATTTAAGTCAAGGATTTTAATTTGATGCCGAACTAAAATTGGATAGAGTTCAATTGGTTCTTTAATCTGATAAGTTAACATATATCAGTAACTCGAGAATCGGAATTGTCTGGTTGGACAGATATAACTTAATCCATTCCTTGAGAAGTAACTGCCCCCCCCCCCCCACGGGAATTAACTGAAACCATTTCTCTAACCCCCTAAATCCGTCTTCCTCCCGTTTCCCATTGATATACCATAAGCGGTTTTTTTCATTTATCTCAAAAAAATATGATCTTGAATTTAAAGGTATTAAGAATATCGAGTTAGACTTTTCAGCTTAGATGTATCATAATCAAAAGTTTCCGACTTCTGTTGTTTTCAAAACCTGAATTCTGTTGCGTATCCGTTCGTCACTAATTGCACCATAGCAGTGATGTACTGAGTTCGAAGCGGCCCTGATTTCCGACTCATTTTTCCAATTCTCTGTTAAGCTTAACTAATCTTTAAAATTCTTGAACTCCAGGTTTAAATCAACTGGAACTAGAAGTACTGCGTGTCCCCTAGTTATATTTTCTAGAGAAATTAGTTTGTAGATGTTGTGTTAAAAATAGGAATTGAGTCTTTGCCACAACTCGAATCTTTGCACCCAATATTGTAGACCTTAATTATTTTAAACCATGATTTCAGATAAATTAAATAATCCGAGTTTGAAATATTAAAGGTTACAAAGATATAGGAATTAGAAAATTTGAGTTTATGGCAAATGTTCAATTCATATCATTTCAAAATTTTCATAAGTTTTATGAAATTAGATTAAGCTTTTCCTGAGATTTTAGATGTTTCTCGAAAGTTTCAATAAATATTTCTTCATCTTCCAGTTTGAATATTTTGTGTATTGTTTGCTTGATTAGGAGAAGGTTTTGACAATCATCATTTTTCCCCTGACCCAACCCGGAGTAGGAGAGAACTATTCAAACCAAAACATCTTTATTTTATAATTTAAACTTCATTTATATTTCGTTTGTCATTCGTCATTTTTAATAAAATTACGTTTTTTAAACTGATTCTGATAAAAAAACCTAAATTATGTTATTGTTGAAACGACACAAATTCAATGGCACATCAAAAAGTAAAAAGAAAACCTTAAAATTTGTTAAAAAATCAAACCTTCTTTGGCTTAGAAACAAATAATTGTTTAGGAGGTTTTGTTCCATTTAAATAATTCTAATTTAGAATTATATGATAAATTGACTAGTTACATTGGTAACCATCGTTTTCCTATTAATAGCCTGCAATATTTATGTCATGTCATGTCTAAATAAAAAAAATAAGATCCTTTAAATAATCTATTAAAGTAAAGAAGGATGGATTGGAGACCTAGGTCTAGAACATCTAGGCAACAATTCTGCAAGGAGGATAGAATAATTCTAGCCAGCTCCCATTGATTCTTCATCACACTCTGTTTGAAGGGAGCTTGATCAGGATCTAACAAATGTACAGGGTGACACGAAAAATCAGCACACAGTTTATAATTTTAGAAGGGGGCGGCTAAATAATTCTTGTCGTCCGATCCTTCTGTTTGGTTTAAAACTAAGACAAATATTCGAAATCTCTTCGTTAACTTCAGCTGACCAATAATGTTATAGAAACAAACAAAAGTTATTTAAATATGTCTGAACCCCCTCAGATTTTTCTTCTGGGCTTTATGAAATCCAAAATTTCTAAATGTGGTCTAACTTTTTTGTGCTTTCAATATTAACTGAAATATTAAGAATTTCGTTCAGATTTCAATTTATTAAATAAAACCAAAATTGTGATAATCTGAACAAAGCTCTTATATTAAAAGCACACAAAAGGCAGACAACATTTTGGAAATACCAGGAATAGGGGTATTTTTTTTATTATCAACTCAAAAAATTTACTTCTAACTTTTTATGAATAAAATGCCGAAAATAATTTCGTTGGAGACCCTGTACCTCTTCGATTGAGGACAGGGTTTGTATCTGGATGCTGGAGGAGAAGATGTGCAGTACTCCAGTTCCCAGACTGTATAGCAACCTGTACATCGAGTATAATACATTGTACATATAGGGTTATCAACAAAAGAATGAGACTGTAAAGACGACTTGAAATTCTTTAATTATTACGTTTCCAAGTTTAAAGTATTCTGCCATAAAATTGAATATAAACTTTTTATGGTTTTTAAATGATTGGGCCGGGAATCATAAATGAAAGGAAACAGATAGTGTTAATTCCGCACAGTCGTCTCTGAAGTCTCGTCCTGTGTGGGTAACCCTGTATAATTAGGAAGTCCTAGAACAATGTACATAACCAAAAGTTCGAAAAAATATATGGTGTAAAATTCCATATTAACATGTAAAAAAAATGTTAAGAAATTACGCAATTTTAAAACACATGAATATTGAATTCTGAATAAGATAATTAAGGAATGTTTAGAACAGGTACAGGGTGTCCCACGAAACATAACAGTTGGTGAATAGGTTTGAATGACTTCTACCATAAACTGTATTAGATATTAAAGACTTTTTGTAGTTTATTTTGTTTAAAAAATCGTTAACTCAAATATATTTTACTTTGAAATAAATTTTTCTGTAATATGACTCCCTTACAATATTTGTTATTATTCTCTGGTATAAAACAACTTAACAAATTATGGAAAAATGCCATTTTAAACCATTCAGTAACTGTCATGTTTCGTGGGACACCCTGTAGTTGCTTAAGTTACTCAGTATAGTTAACCACGAAGGAAAAGACTTTAATAACGACCTAAAATATGCCATAAACAGTTTATTAGATTAAAACGCGTATCATTTCTAGGGTCTTGTACACGTTTCTTGTCACTCCGTGTAAAATTAGGTACCTGGAGGGGAGTTAACCGTGCATCGTTTAAACCATTGAGATCTATATCTTCCTGATATATTAACTCCTGAAATATATTGAGATATATATATTCCTGATATGTTAACTCCTGAAATATATTGAGATATATAAATTCCTGATATATTAACTCCTGAAATATATTGAGATATATATCTTCCTGATATATTAACTCCTGAAATATATTGAGATCTATATCTTCCTGATATATTAACTCCTGAAATATATTGAGATCTATATCTTCCTGATATATTAACTCCTGAAATATATTGAGATCTATATCTTCCTGATATATTAACTCCTGAAATATATTGAGATCTATATCTTCCTGACATATAAACTCCTGAAATATATTGAGACACGACAGTTAAAAGACGAATTGAAGATCGTCTTTGATAGCTATCTTTTGGCAGATTTTGTGTAAAAAAGAGTCGAACGACTTAAAAACTTTCCATGGTATGATGCATATCCTAGGTAGCTATAAAAAATTTTACAAATCGCCGTCAATTTTGAAAGCACAAAGACCAGAACACATTTTGGAAATTCCAGAACTAGTTTAATTTAATGATACGTTTTTCAAGTATTGTTTTTGTAAGAAAATATTGACAAATTCCTCATGTTGTTTTTTGACTGTTATATTTAGCAGGACAATACATCTTGTACCTTAACAATAGCATCCTCTCCCTTCTCCACGTATACATGGAGAAGGCGTTGGTAGTTCGGGCACTTGGATTCAATATCGTTCAGAAGATCAGAGATTGTTGTCCTTTCAGTTTCAATCTCTCCTTCTTCTTCGTCAAAGTCATATATTTCGTCATCTTGTTTCTCAGTTTTTCCAACTTTTTTCAATTTAAAAGAAATACCTTAAATAATTGGATTTAATGGGACTGTAAGCGTAGTTTCAAATGATCCTCCATAATAAGATGGCAATGCCAGGTTTAGAACGGTACACTTGAAACCTTAATCTGATCAAAATGTGGAAGATACTGTAATTTTTCTGACTCATAAGTGTTTAATTCTAATATTTTTTTAATCTCAAATTGTATAATGTATATAATTATTAATCTTTTTCAGTACGTTTTTAAATTTTAATTAAAAAAATTACAAAACTTTCCAATTAGTTAGAGCTTACGATAGGCTTAATTCATATTTCATTGTAAATTAATGAACCGGATTTGTACAATACTAATAAGAAAAGTGTCAAGATTTGGTTCATTGCAGTTACAAGTATGGATAATTTAGTTAAAGAAACCGCTCTTTAAATCTTTAACAGGAAAAAAATTATAATTCCGTCATCCGTCAACAGAACAAAGGTTTACGTCAACAGTCTCTTTAAGTTTAGATAATAATTCCTTTAACCTGGAGAATGAACTGTCCGAAGAGTAAACTGAGCAGATTTCACAGATCCGTTCTGAACTAGTTGCACAGATCTTCTCCGTCCTTGATTTATTCCGAACCAGGAGAACAGCTCCTCCCTGTCCCAGAACCTGACCAACTCAGGGACCGTGAGCCTCGTCGTCCCATCCTTGGCCGTCCTGTCCGCCCCAGCCTCGAGAAGGAGCTGGATAACATTGAGGTTAGAGTCAAGCATCCTAGAGTCCTTGGAGACATTCTTCTTCACTGCTAGATGTAGAGGGGAGTTTTTAAACCTAGATATATGATAAACTAAACCTTTGAGTTCTGAAACCTAGATATATGTGAAATTAAACCTTGGAGTTCTTAAACCTTAATATTTGTTAAACTAAACCTTGAAGTTCTTAAACCTAGATATATTAAACTAAACCTTTTGGGATCTTAGACTTAAATGTGACCTTTTTTAAAACCTAAATATGTAAATTAAACTAAACCTTGGAGTTCTTAAAACTAGGTATATGTTAAACTAAACTTTAATTTATGGAAAAATAAACCTTGGAGTTCTGAAACCTTAAAGTCACCAACTATCATGTTTCGTGGGACACCCTGTATGAAACTAAACCTTATGTAAGTTAAAATATTGCTATCTGACTGTTACCATAGATAAATAAATAAACATAAATAGCTTATGTACGCAAAATCAACAAAAATTGTACAGTCCGCGAACTCATACTTCTAGGGGTCAAAGTGTACTTCAATGATAAGCGGGGTGGTTTGGTGTTTTAATGGATTTCATAATAGAGTGTAAAATAATTGAACAACAATATTTCACTGAGCAATATATCATAGTGACGAGAACTGAAGAAGGACATGAGAAGGACTAAACTAACTTAAATTTCTCTCTACAGAACTCATGTACACCACAAGCACTCAATGGCATAAGAACAGACAATGTTCACAACCGACCTAGTTAATCTATATAATAGGAATATCTTTAAAACATCTCTGTACATTTATATCTTTCAAGATGAAAAATGTCGTCTTATGCGTAATCTATCTTTATCTATGACTGTTACCTGTTAACTTTGTTGACTAGAGCTCCATGTTTGAGGAGAACTTCAACTACTTCTGGTTTGTTTAAATTCACTGCAACGTGCAGTGGAGTCCAACCTTTAGATAGGTACAGGTTCAGGATAGTTTAAAAGCGTACAGAAATATGTACAAGTACATGTATACATTTTACAGATAAAGGTACAGGTATATGTTGAATAAGCTTACAGATAAACTATAAAGTAAGTGTACAGGAACATGTACAGTTTCCGCTTTTTAAGTTGCTCAAACTATAAGGTACAGGTACATCTTCAAGCTTAGTTACCGGTACAGGTACAGCTAGGCAGTAGTATAAAAAAGGGAGCACATTTTTTACACGCCAAGAACTAGCAATTTTTAATTACTTAGTTTTGCAGATTTGCGTCTATTGCTTGCCGCAATTCCACTCCTATGATGTAGACAATGTTAGGTCTGAAAGTTTTTAATTTTACGAATAAAATTTCTGGAACTTAACTAAATCCACTCAGAACTCTTAAACCAAGCTAACAACATTTCCATGGTAATACCAAGACCAAACAAATTTTGTGGTAAATCGGTCAAGGAGTTTTGATATCGGACATAAAAACTGACAAACAAACACCAACATACTACTTTATATATATAAACTAGCTGAAGGGCCCAGTGTTGCCCGTGGAAAAAAAATTTCCTAATTAAAAAGTAAAATTTTTGAGAAAAGAGTTTTTTAGCCTAGAACACCCCCGGCCGCCCATGAGTGTCACCAAAAATTTTAGCCCAATCGGTTCAGCCGTTTGGCCGGCTATACGCAACATATATAAATACGAATGTCTTGTTTTAATACATAGATATATATATTGTTATTGTCATATTTATGATGAAAAAACACTAAAACAGAATAATAATTTGATGATGATGCAAACTTATAATTACTCTATAATAAAATTGAATTCATATTTTTTTTTCAGTTTTCATAAAAATGACAAAAATTATGCTTGATCATAATATTCTTATTTACTATTAAAAAAATGATTATCTCGTGCTAATATAATAGGTAGGTCTAATTATCCAGGCGATATTGAGGTATATTTATGTAAAAGTAGTCATTATCTCATGCTAATATAATAGGTAGGTCTAATTATCTAGGAGATAATGAGATATGTAAATGTAAATGTACAGTCATTATCTCATGCTAATAATATAATAAGTAGGTCTAATTATATAGGAGGTAATGAGGTATATTTATAGTCATTACCTTTGTAAAGTTGACTTTGTTAGTATTTTTATTAGAAAAATCGCCAAGGAATCGGCCGTTTGTATTAAATATAATTTTTAAAATAAGCCTTGAATATTTTCAGAGATATCATACGTACAGTAACAATGTATAGTACGTTGGGTAGATGTAGGTATTAGGTACGGATGGTTACTCAGGTACTCTAACAAATACATGTACAGGTACAGGTACAGGTTTAGGTCTCAGAATAAGTACAGAATTCAGATACTCTAACAATTACAGGTCTAGGAATTTAAGTACAGGTACAGGTACTCAAAAAGTAAATATTTAAGAATAAGTACAGCCAATGGTGCTTAATAAGTACAGGTTTATAGGAATAAGTACAGGCACAGGTTCAGGGAAAAGTAAAGATTTAAGAGTAAGTACAGGCACAGGTGCTTAACAAGTACAGGTTTAGGAAAAAGTACAGGTACAGGTTCAGGGAAAAGTAAAGATTTAAGAGTAAGTACAGGCACAGGTGCTTAACAAGTACAGGTTTAGGAAAAAGTACAGGTATAGGTTCAGGGGAAAGTATAAATTATAAAACCTGCTACATTTTCTGAGTTGATTTCATTCGTCCCATTTTTCAAAATATACTCAGAAACACTTCCGTCAACTTCCTATATAGCATACATAAGTAGAAAAGTAGAAAATAAGTAGAAAATAAGTGGTTTAAATTGACTCAATCCTAATGTTAAAGAAAGTGACCGATGTTGTTGCTTCCGGTAAAAACGTATTAATTTTAGATTAATAATTCGTGTTAACTAGACGCATGAACAAAATATCTCCGCCATGAACAAAAGGGGGGTTGGATATTCAGGGTTATTTAAAAGTACAGAGGTCGATTTTAAAGAATTTGAGTTGAGGCCTAAATTTAAGCCGCGGCTCAAATATGGTTGGTTAAACTTAAAATTGTATCAAAGATTTAAGCCGGCGCTTAATTTAAACCGGGTTTTGGCGGATTTAAACCTCGGCTTAAATTCTTTAAATTCCATCTCTGGAGACATAACTTTATGTGACCCTCCATTAGATTATAACGTAGCACATCCGATTCAAACAGCACCCTTAAAACATATGTCTATCTAAGTATGAATAAGATGGTCTAACTTTTCTCTCTGAAAATTGATCACTTTCAACAGTGGTTTCTCCGTGAAATTGACTTACGGATTTATGCTTAAATGCAAAAATAGAAAAAATAGAATTTGAAAATCTTCCTCTGTATTAGATAAAGTTTTTCAGGGCGATACCATTGTGAATCCGACACGCGACTCTTTTAAATGGAGAGTTACTTGTATTCTCTTTATAGTGCTTGATACCTATTTACTTAAAGTGACTATAAGCGTAATTTTAAATGAGCCTCCATGTAAAGATGGCAATGCCCGATTTACAACGGTACCCTTAAAAGCTTTGTCTGATCAAGTATTAATTAGATATTCATGTTTTAGTTTCTTTAAACCATTTAGTTTTATTTGCGGGAAGTGACTTGCACTTTTTTTGCTGACTAGACGCAATGTAGAAATTATCAGAATTTTACACTTTTTAAAGTCGGTAAAACGATGGTATCCTTCACATTTTTAATCAGCCATTTTTGAATTGAGAGCCATTTGAAATCACGCTAACAGTCCCTTTAGAAATAAATTATAAACCTGTCGAATTGCTTGAAACAACCCATTCTCCTCATTAGTTGAATTTTCTGTCTTCTTGACCGTAGTTGACGGAAATATAGATTCCGACTGAAACATGTTTAATTATTTAAACGCAAGATGTCTCTGTAAACATAAGTAGAATTTTTAGTTTTACAATAATTAAACCTTGGGCAAGTTGATTGATATTTTTTTTATTTTCTTCATTTAGAATTCAAGTTTGTCAAACACGTTTCAACTTTAGCATTCCTAACATAATATTCTGAAATGTGTTAATATTATCAAAATTAATCAGAAGACAATGGAATTGCAAATATAGAATTAGGAAGTAAACAATCATATCATGCGTAGTGGATTCTTATCATGAATTCAGACAAACTTAATATAGTAATAAGGCATAATTTTCTACATTCTCAGCTGAAGAGACAAATACTGTTGTTACTTCTTTAATACCTGGTGTTTTAGGGCATTGGAAATTAAAAAATAAAAATTTGATTAAAACCAGTTAATTTAGTTTGATTTTGATGATTTCCAAAGAAATTTTCATATTTTTTTTAGTTGGTAAAGGAATTGAGTCTTCGAGACAAACTTTCAAATCCCTATTGCTTTGGAACCTGATGGTGTAAACCTTTGATATTTTAAACAGATTTCATAGTTTGAAATATTTAAAAAATTAGAAAATCAGAGTTTGTGGCAAAACTCAATTCCTTTAGCTTAAATTGCATCACACACATTTACATAGTCATTTTGGTCTTTTATTTGATTTAATGGTATCTAAAAGTACAAATAATACAAAAAAGATATTTTCAAAACTAGCCGACCACATTAGTAAACTTTAAAATCAATTCTGAAATCAACTTTTCTGACAAGTCCACACAGCTGTTGAAGTTGATCATCAATTTTTAGGACCTTTAAAGTATCCTAGCGCTACTTACTGATTTTTTTGTAGCCCAGGGCATATAAATTGTAGACGCGCACTTGTTTCTAGCTTCAGAGTAAAATAAGTAAATGTTCAAATTAACTTTTGTGTGAGAGCGTGCACTTCTTGCACACAACGGTTCATGGTGTTTTTATCCTCAATCAAGTTGTTGCTGGGTGCATTTGATAAGGAGAACAAAAACATTTGGAATATTGCAAACCCGTCAATATTCTAAAAAAATACTTGTTATAAATGGCCTTGCCTAATTTTGTGATTTTTTGCTTAATTAAAGGGACAGACCGGCTATGTAAGGTAGTTAAACTGAGTATGCAGTGTTGTGGACAAATTCTTTAGGATTCATTTGAGACATATAAAACGTTTCCACGATGTATAATTACTGAGTTTATGTGCAAAATCATGAATTTGGGTGGGTACGTTTTCAGAATCGGTTTTTTTTAATTGTTAAATAACGACGACGAAAAATAAAGTAAAAATTATTCAGCAATCTAATTAGATGGTTAGGAATATATTTCTTAAAAGAAATTTGTCAATAAATCAATGTTAAAATCAATTATTTCGTTTTCATCGTTATATTGAATTTCTTATTTTCTATGAATTTATTAGCAGATTTCTACAAATTCTTCAAATGTTGTCTTTTCAATAAAAATTCCAGAAAATCTGCAGAAAATCTTTGTGAATAATCAGAGATTATAGATACTAATAATTGAATAAGATTACTTATTTTCTAAAATAAGATTAATTTTTATTTGATCAACCTGTTCCTAAACAATTAATTACTTTACTGTAGAATTTTGTTTACATTTTTTGTCGTTGTTATTTAATAATTTAAGAAAACAATTCTGAAAACGTACGATTTTAAACGTCGTCTTTGCGCTCAAACTCAGGATTTACAAATCTTTAAAAAGTTTTATATGTCTCAAATGAATCCTACAGAATTTGTCCACAACACTGCATACTCAGTTCAACTACTTTACATAGTCGGTCTGTCCCTTTAAAGAATATTTGAAAGTTAAAACCCTATGAAAAATTTATCAACTATAACTCTCATTTAGATAAATTAATCTCTACGCCATTATAGCGAAATCATATGCTTACCCTTTTCTGGGCGTACAACGATATCATTGTGCACAGAGTCCTGATTTCAATCATGATTATCAAGATAAGCTACTTTGACGTAAACTGAACGTATTCAAATCATTTGTGCCAAGCATGGCAGATTCACTTGGATAAGTTGTTTTGCGATGAAACCACTGTGTATCACCTTTTATTAGATTTCAAAGTTAAAGTTTTGTTCACTTTACACTTTACACTTTACACACTTTAAATTTGACGAAGTAAACGTTCATTCACTTAGAACTATGTGAAGATTTTAAACCTCTATTTTTATTTTTGGATTTTAAAGCTGTAAGTATATTATAAAGCTAACAGATTATTTCTTTGAACTTAGAATTTTTGCACTTTAAACACTGTAAACGTAACAAAATTAGAGTTTACAATTAAAGTTTGTCTACTGTAACATTCGAAATTTGTAACGTTTTTTGCACTATGAAATCAAAAAACACTGAGGAATTTTAACGTTTTGTACACTTTATAAAGTGTTAAAGTAAACAACATGAAAGGTTTCTGAAAAATGAAAAATCTAACGTTAAACACTGTTTCGTTCACTTTGATCACTTTAAGGTCGCTACTAAATGTAGCTTTGATAACTTTGATGTCGCTACTAAACGCAGCTTTGATCACTTAACTATAGCTACTTAACGTAGCGTTGATCACTTAAATGTCACTAATAAACGTTGTTCTGATCACTTTCATGTCGCTACTGAACGTAGCTTTGATCACTTTAATGTAGCTACTAAACGTAGCGTTGACCACTTGGATGTGGCTACTAAACGTAGCTTTGATCACTTTAATGTAGCTACTAAACGTAGCGTTGACCACTTTGATGTAGCTACTAAACGTAGCGTTGATCACTTTGATGTGGCTACTAAACGTAGCGTTGATCACTTTAATGTCGCTACTAAACGTAGCGTTGACCACTTTGATGTGGCTACTAAACGTATCGTTGATCACTTTGATGTTGCCACTAAACGTAGCGTTGATCACTTTGATGTAGCTATTAAACGTAGCGTTGATCACTTTGATGTAGCTACTAACGTTAGCTTTGATCACTTTAATGTCGCTACTAGACGTTGCCAAAGTGGTTAAAGTTTTATTTTGTTTACGTTGAACAAAATATAGTTGAAGGAGTGAACAGTGAACACTGTGGCGTCCAATTATGGACTGCCCGTGAATTTGTATGCAGAAAGAAACCAAACATCTTCTCAACCCAGCTATACACAAAGGTGCATAAAAATCTGTGAATGGTCCGAGAGAAAGGAATATACGGGAATCCCCTAATATATTCCACTTATTAATGTCACAGCATAAGTTTCATTTTCAGGGCTTCCTATAAATAAGATCGGAGAATGTTTCCCTTCAAATTGTCCTGCCTGTGCAGTGTGCATCTTCTAATAGAATCTGCACCTAAACTGAAAATTTCACTGTCTTCTGTTGTTAATGTCGCACAATAAACTTACGGTTCCGATTATATTTAATTCTATCTTCTTTAAGGTTCAACTCATAAGTGCATGGGAAGGAGTAAGTTGTTAGGGGGGGGGGGGGAGGTCAGATGGACAAATTGTTAAAGGCTTGTACAACAATAAATGCATAATATATGCAATGGAATCGTGACCGGACATACAATCAGTGAATACCCAGAGAGACGGTAAATACCAGCAAATTGAAGAATATAGATTGTAGACTACAGAGTTTAAACCGTAGATTGTAGATGTTGAATGTATACCATAGAATATGGACTGTAGACTGTAGAGTGTAGACTGTAGACTGCAGACAGCAGACTGTAGACTGTAGACTGTAGACTGTTGACTGTAGACTGTAGACTGTAGACTGCAGACTGCAGACTGTAGACTGTAGACTTAGACTGTAGACTAGACTGCAGACTGTAGACTGCAGACTGTAGACTGTAGACTTTAGACTTTAGACTGTAGACTGTTGGAAGTATTCTGTAGACTGTAGACTGGCAGTACCAGTACTGAACTAAGAGCACAACCCTGCTAACACGACTCGGTCCGAAAACTCTTTTACTAGAAGCTAAATTAGTGTGCCCTGTACAAAAAAACATGGACGGTCTGGAGGATCCTTAACAGTTTTAAACCAAACCCTGATTTTGTGTCTTTAAAATACGGTGATTATTTATCCAGCTTTACTCATCAATTACTGTTATAGCTTTTTAATCATAGAGAATAGAATATATATTAGAGGGGAATTTACTAGAAAAAAGTGTAAAACGGCCATTTTGTTGTACTGTTTCCATACTGCAGGTGTACTTCACATATTTATGCTATGTAACCTTTTGGGCCCTGGAATATCGTTTTATAGAAAATCTAAAATTATTGTTAAAAGAAACCAAATTATGAAATAGGCTGGTTTCATAATTGACCAATGATCATTTCACATAGACTCTATGCCTTCCACTTTACAAACGATGATTTTCCGTTATAACTATAAATCAAATGATGTTTTTTATTCACCTAATTCATTATACAGTTTATTTAACAGTTTAAAAAATTCGAAATTGAAATAAATAGTCTAGGGAACATACTGTAATAATGTACTCTACTGCATATAATTTGTGAACATTTACATGATTTGTACACTTTGAACTCCCTTTCAGGCTGAAAGTGACTGAAAAAATTCATACCGAGAGATTCTTTAAATTCCCCTCTAATATATATTCTATTCTCTATGTTTATAATATGAAATTATGAAGCGTGCCAAAAGGTATATTGCTACGCAATTAGGATGAGTCTTCTATAGCGACATAAAAATATAACGAACTTCAATATGGTCATGTAATCTATAAGTATACTTTGCTTGTCTGTCTGCCTGTTTGTTTGTGTTCCATAAACGTTAGAACGGACGAACCGATCGGGTCCATTTTTGGTGGGAATTCACCCCAGGGACGGTTTACGGATGGCAAAAGATAAAAAAGTTTACCGAAAAAATGCTGAAATTTACATTTTTGAAAGAACAGTTTGGGCAAAAAAAAGAAACATGCTTACAGTTGCAGGCCGGGAACCATAGGTATGAGAAAAAAACTTAATTGTTCGTATACAGTCGTCTTTGAAGTCTAATCCTTATATCTTGAAGATTTGAATGTATAGTATACTGATGAATCCAATTGCATTCTCTATTATCTATATCTAAGCTCTGCGCTCATATACATATATATATATAAATATATAGAGAATATTTCTTTTTTAATAAAATGTGAAGTTTTAACACTGAAATATAAATTTATGTTGTAGCCATAGCTGACCAAACAGCTGGACCAAATTGGCTGCAATATTGTTTCTTCAAAATTCGATAATTTTTCAAAATTAAATTCAGAATTTAACATTTTTTCTTTTTAGTACCTCTAAAGAAAGTTGAGCTATGATTAGAAACATGACAGATTTTATCAAACTTTACTTTGGAATGTTTAAATATACGAAGAAATCAAATTTTTAGATTCAAGACAAAAAAGGCCCATGTCACGAACACAAAAACAAAACAGACAAAAGAAGATTATCGCTCTTTAATTTTACAATATTCCATTTCAAATCATTGTATCTACCATCTACACAATCTACATAATACATTTATATATATACATAAAATTATCCTGGTAAGCAGGATATCTTCAAAAAATCAACTGGGACACCATTCATTCTTGAGCCCGGCCCCCTAGACAGACATTCATCATGATGGCTTATTTAGCCCATTTTATAATTCAACAGAGATCAGAACTTTTGTATTGCCAACCAAATTATGATATAGCTTTAAAAAATTCGAAATTGAAATGGATAGTCAAGGGAACATACTTTATTAATGTACTCTACTGCATATAATTTGTGAACATTTACATGATTTGTACACTTTGAACTAACTCCCTTTCAGACTGAAAAGGGCCTGAAAAAATTCATACCGAGGGATTGTCTAAATTCCACTCTAATGTATATTCTATTCTCTTTGATTCCAATATTAAACATAAAGATAAAAACTCAACAACAAATTTTTGTAAAGAAAGCTACGACATTCTTGCATCGAATTACTACTTAATGTTTCATGGATTTCTCAAAATTCAGTCTAGTTAGTTTATTTGAAAATTTAAATATTATATTTAGTTTAAAAATTTATTGAAAAAATGTATTTAAGCATAATGTAACAATCAAAGACTAAAACAAACACCGAGGTGTCGGTTACGAGGAGTTGATTTTACAATCTGCATAGGATGAATGTAAACACTGCAAAAAAAACTAAATCGTTAAAGCTTCTTGTGCAAATATTTCAAGATATGAATCACCCTAGACTAACAAGGGCTGGTTGGTTTCTTCCATTTGAATTTAATCGGGCTTTGGTTTATAATTCAACAATCTTGAAACTTTCATACGGTGGTAGGCGATTATATCAATATAATGATGACAACTTTCGATTTCAATTATAATTTATATCACATTTTAAACACACAAACACGGAAGAAAAAAGAAGCTGTCAATTTAAAATGCTTCTTAATTACATTTAAATTTATAGTTCGAAAAAAGCTTGTTGACAAAAAAAGTCTTCATTACATTGAAATAATCATCTTCCACCGTAGGATTCCTTTTCTTTTTTTCAAAACGCAACCGCAAAGAAGTGTCCGAGAGAAGTAACGACAAAGGAACTGAGTTTTTTCCACAAACTTAAATGTTCTAACTCCTATATCTCTGTATCCGGATGGTTTAAACCTTGGAGATTTCAAACTTATATTATTTGATCTAACAGAATTCATAGTTTGAAATATCAAAGGTCACTGACATTGGATTGAAAAGATACAGGGATTGGAAAATCTGAGTTTGTGGCAAAAACTCAATTCCTTTATGTTTGATTGGTCAAATTGTGATTGAAAGTGACAGCTAGGCAGGACCCAGACCTAACCCACAGACTACACAGACTGTTCATACACTCTTGTTAACCATTAACTTAAGACCTCCGTGTAATGTCGTCTTCAACTTAAAATCCCCTCTCGGAGACACCAAACCAAATAATTTAAGCCCCCATTTTCTTTGTACTCCGGGGATGGAGCCTAAAACACTTTCGATTATTGTGAACCCATAAAAGTTAAATAAGAATATTTTCATATGAAGAATTAGTGAATTTCGTTAAATATTCAACTGTCATTTATTTCAGAAGTTTTAATAAAAAAAACGTCCTTCAACACTGATCAACAAAAAGTTACCCTTTATCATCCCCTAGTAAATCATAAGATTTTTTCCATTATTAACATTTATTATAACATTGTACAAGTAACCATGATCTA